ACAGACCGGGGCTACCAGGACCTGGATGGCTCTTGAGCGGCTCCTGAGCCCAAGGGCAGCAAATAGCTTTCCTGTAAATACCTGTTCCTACAACAAGCGCGTGCTGGCCGGTAACCTGGGGTACAAACCCACAACCACAGACTGGCACCTACTTATCAGGGCTCGAGGCCGTGACCTGGAAGCAGGGAATTTTTCCTACCTTTCTGCCAGGTGTTTGTAGGGACTAAGCAAAACCGGAGTCGGGGCTCCCCATGGAGCGTCGCTTTGCCCATCTCCTTCCACGCAGGAAAGTCTCCATGTCCGGCGGCGGCTCCGGCAGCGCCCGGGGAACCCGGAGCTCCGGGGCCATCCTGCCCGGGGCCACTCGCTGTCCTCGTGGCTGAGCCTGCGGGTCCCAGCTGGCCCCTCGCTCCCGCCCCATCCCACCCCACGTTTACGGAGTCGCTAATAATATCCCGCCTGCTCTCCAAGAAAAGCAAGTGCATGAAGCCTCCTGCCCTGCAAGGGGCCGGCGCGGATACTAGAGGTGCCCTGAATCCTCACCTGCAGGCTGGGCACACGGGATCCCGCGGGATTCAGCTCCGAGTGCGGCTCTGGGGATTCGGGATGTTGCCGCGCTGCTTTTCTCCCTGCTTTACAGCCTGGGCACGGCCGTCTTGCGCCAGTATGAGGCCCGAGGGCATGGGGGGAGCGTGGGGACATGCGGGGACATCAGGTGACCAGCGCCGGCGCTCCTGGTATGCCCAGCTGACGGCTGCGCTAGGAAGGAGGGAGGGAAAACAGCCCGCGGGAAAGAGGGAGAAGGGGCCAGGGGGAGCAGGGGCTGGTGGTGGCCACGTCACCCGGGCTGAGTGCCCGGGGTTTCCGGTGAGCCCGGCTGCCTCCTGGCTCCCTCGCGCCTCTCCAGGGAAACAAGAGCTGCTCCCTCCCTGCGGAGCTTCCCGGCGTGGGAGCCCCCGGCCGCGGCTCCTCATCTCCCTAGGGACCTGCAAGGGGGGCCGGGCAGCAGCCGGGGGG